CGAGACGGGGGTCTCCGTCTCTGTCAGGAGATGTGAGGAGATACGCAGGGAATGTACGGAGCAGAAACCAGAGATTAGAGTGAGACGATCCTCGGTGGGATTGTATTTTTCTCGCATGAGGAAAAGGGGATTTCGTGACTTGCGTGTCACTGGGTCGGGATAGTGGTCACGGGGAGGAAGTTAGTGGGGTATTTGGATCATGTTATGGGTGACCCTTGGGGGCTCAGCTGTGGAGCCAGAAGCTGACCTGGTGCTCAGTCTCGAAGAGGGATATGAGAAACGAGCTAGAGTTTATCATGATGATGCCTGAGGACACTTTAGAGAGAGGGAGCGATCCAGACGCTCGAAGACATGCTTCGGGCATATGTACTAGATTTCGGAGGAAGCTGTGGCACGTATTTATCCTTGGTTGAGCTGTTGCATAGGAGGTGATGTCGAACCCTCATTTGCTGAGGAGAGGTAACGCATAGACCCGAGAGTCCTTGCGAGCAGATCCAGAGCATGTGCGATACATGGAGTAGTGGCAAGGTCGTCAAGCGGATTTCCCTAGGTAAGGGAGAGGAAGGTATGTTGGGACTAGTGCAGCATGTGTATGCGAATACAAGAAGGGAACTCGTGAGAGTTGCTCTGAGAGTGCGAATGGGTCTCTCAGTCGTTCCGAAATGGATAAAGTGGGTTTTGGATCGGGGATCCGGTGATTCATGGTTTCCTAACCCTTATGGGTCGAGTGATCGTTGAGATTTGGAGCAGAATTGCATCGTGGGTGATTCTCGGTTACAGGGAGTAGTGGGCAGTACAGAGATCGTGCTTCAGTCGACAGAGCAGATTCAGCAGGTTAAACAGAGGTTATTGATCGCCTAGAACTGACAGAAAGTTATGCAGACAGACGCCGGTACGAGCTTGAGTTTCAGGTCGGCGACTTCGTATTCCTGAAGGTCTCTCCTTGGAAAGGAGTGATTCGATTCAGGAAGAGGGACAAGTTGGGGCCCCGGTATATTGGACCTTTTCGTGAGATTGTGAGGGGAGGACGGGTGGCCTACCGTTTGGAGTTGCCAGCGGAATTGAGATAGATCCACGACACTTTTCATGTGTCGCAGTTGAAGAAGTGTATAGTCGATGAGTCAGCAGTGGTTCCACTAGAGAACATTTAGGTGGATGCGAGCTTGAGTTAGGCTGAGAGACCAGTGGCCATCAGGGATCGGAAGATCAAGTTTCTGAGGAACAGGGAGGTACCTCTGGTGTTGGTTCAGTGGCAACCCCGGAAAGGATTAGAAATGACTTGGGGGTCGGAACGTGAGATGCGGGAGCAACATCCGGAACTATTTTCAGAGTAAGACTTCGAGGGCGAAGTCTGATTCTAGTGGGGGAGAATTGTAACAGCCCGGAATCTCAAGTATTGTTGAAATTATATTTATGGGGTGTTTTAAGGGGGAACTCGGCGAGTTGGAGCCAGACTCGCCGAGTAGGATCGCATACCTGGTCGCGGGTTCGCGACTGGACTCGACGAGTCAGATAGGGACTCGGCGAGTCTGCGCTGTTTAGCGAAAACCCTAGCCGTTTAGGTTTGGGACGTATAAAGGGGGCTTATAGGCCGTCATTGTTCGTTTTGGCCTTCTGAGAAGAACTCTAAATCGATTGTGTGCATCTAGATCAAGATTAAAGGCCATTGGTGATGTTGAAGGAGTTGTTGTGCAAAGAAGAGAAGGGCTTGGCTAAAGGAACAACAAGGGGGTCACATTCTGAGGATTGGGGACACAGAGAACACATTATCCAGGTAAGAATTCGTGTATACTCTGCCATGGTGATGTATTTAGAGGATTAGGGTTTATGGAACCCTTTTATGGATAGATTGAATGTTACCCTTGTTCCCCAAACGATTGTAACCCTGTATTAGGACCCTTGGAGGTCCAGAACATCCCTTGTCTGTGCATTTTGGGAATTGGTGAAGGTTTTGGATTGAAATCCTTATGCCTTAGGTCAACATGTAAATTATAAGTCTTGGGGTGTATCATGAGCACCTAAATGAAGACCTTATGTAATGGACCAGTCGAGGAAGGCCAGACCTATGAATGGTCGGAGCAGTTATGACCTTAGGAAGCAGTTTGCGCGACGCCGAGTCAGATGAGCAGACTCGGCGAGTAGCTTGAAGAATAACTGGGACTCGTCGAGTTGTTCATCAGACTCGGCGAGTGGAGTCGGGGTGGCCCCGCGATTCTTCCAGGAGTAACTCGTCAGGTCAAGGAGGATACTCGACGAGTAGAAGGGAAAACTTAAAGGATTGGAGGACGACTAGACTCGCCGAGTCGCCAGAGTACTCGCCGAGTCCGGTCGAGTTGACCGTGGACTGTTGACCAGAGTTGACCTATGTGTGATTTCTTAGGGTCAGTTGTCTTGAAAGATAAAAGTATCAATAAGAGAATACATTATCCAGGGAGTTTGAAGCTCGGCGGATCAAGTGCAAGTGGTTTCAGGAGTTGCTAATTTCCAGTATCCACGAGGTGAGTCTTCTCACTATACTGTACCCGGAAGGGTTTGGCTGTGTGACCGGAAGGTCGGATATGATATGTGTTATAAGTGCTATAAATGGAAAGGTAATTGCTATGCGTGCTATGTATGTTATGTGGGCCGGAAGGCAGTATGTTATGTGACCAAAAGGTCGGATATGATATATGATATATGTGCTATATGTGTTAGGATAAATGTATTATGTGCTGTGTATGTTTATGGGCCGGAAGGCAATATGTTATGGGCCGGAAGGCAATATGTATGGGCCGGAAGGCAATATGTTATGGGCCGGAAGGCGAATATGTTATGGGCCGGAAGGCGTTGTATTGTGGACCGGAAGGTCAGGGCCTGGAAAGGCGTATATGCGTAAGTTGTATATTGGGGAACTCACTAAGCTTCATGCTTACAGTGTTTTGTGTGTGTTGTTTTCAGGTCTATTCAGTAACACGGGACGGCACCGGCTCGATTGTACACACCAGAGAAAGAGTTATGTTTTGGAGGATCCTGGTTTTCTATTCAAGTGAAAATGAACTATGATTTGTAATTTAATTATGAATGAAACTTTAAACAAGTGTTCTAATAAAATGATTAATTTAAATGAAAAATTTTGCCTTGAAAATCACGGTGTTACATTGTAGGACTCGGCGAGTTGGAAGCCTCAACTCGTCATGTCGTGTTGTTTTTGGTTGCAAAATTTAATGAGTCAACTCGGCGAGTTAGCGACTCGGAAGGAATCCTTAGTTTTAGGGTGTTGCATCGTATTTAAAGGCCTTAAGTCCCTTGGATGGCCTCCTTACCAGCCTCATCTGTTCAGAAACCCTAAAATCAAGCACCCCCTTCCATTCTTGAGTGTATGAGCTTGAGGAGAGCATTAAGTGTTCATTTTTGGTGTATATTGAAGGAGCGAAGGTAAGTAGGTGTTGCTTGATTTGAAGAAGGAGTTTTGGATCCAGAATCTCTAGCCTATTTGCCAAGTTTTTGAGGTATCAAGTTCCCATCTTGCTTAATAATTCCTTAGATCTCTTCTTGGGTTAGATTGTATGCTTTTAGCCATGGTTGGGTGATTGTTGGGGGTAGTAGCACGTCCCAAGGTTTATTCTGTCAGATCTAAGGCCTTCATGATCTCTTTTGGCATAAAGGTGCCAAGTTTATGGTCTTAAGGGCATTATGCATCTATTAAGCCCTTCTTTTGGCCTCTTTTGAGCATTTCGAGCCTCCCCTAGTCATGCATGAACGTAAAGTTGGAAACTTTACGTGGCCATTCAGCCTTAAGGGCTAGATCTGTAGTTTAGGGCTATGCTTTTGGTGATTTAGTGCTTAATCATGAAGCCCTCACACTTTTAAGCCTAGGGTTTGGGTTTTGAACCCATTTTGGTGGTTCCTAGGGGTAAAGTGGAAACTTTACCCTTCTAGATGCCATTTTAGTTGAGAACTGAGTGGTGAAGCTCTTAGTTTCGATAATGTAGGCTAAATGGATTAAGGGTTTGGGTTTCTGGCAACTCAGTGAGTTTATTGGTGAACTCGGCGAGTTGGATCGGTTTTCCCAGTTTTGCAAACTGATGAAGAAACTCGGCGAGTTGAAGGACAACTCGGCAAGTTGAGTCAACTGGGGCCGTTGACTTTGACTTTGACTTTAGCCTTTACCAAGTTTGACCTATAAGTGCTTTTGGACATTTTGAGTTGCTGTTGTGACATGCTCGACAGGGGATTGGTTGTTCGTAGACGGGTTTGTCTGGGAGCTTTTCTTGTGAACACAACATAGAAGGATCGTTAAAGGACGACTGGGGTTCTCCCGGGACGTCACTCCGACGATCAAGTTAATCCTTAATAATAGGGAATTTTTAGGGTAAATTGTATGGAGAATAAGATGGATCCCTTCCTTGAGATGGAAGAGATCCTTTTATACATGTTTCTGAAGGAACGAAGTGACTCCCCCATGTGGGAGTGAGACGTGGCACCCTTTTATTGGGTGGTGTATGAACACAATAACTAACTGCTAGGTGACGTCAGTTCTAGACATCACCGGGCTCTATGTCATGACCTGATTGGTTGTGATAGAATGAGAAGATTAGAAGGGGTATTCTTTCCTCATGAGGGAAAGTGGGCCACCAGATCAACACTGGCCTACCCAGGCCAATGCCGGGTACCTGCCTAGACCCTGGCAAGATAGCGATTCGCTAGTACTTTCCGTTAAGTTTAACGTGCCCACCTACGGTAACGTTAACAAGTCCCTTAGACCAGTAGGCTTTTACATTTGTGACATAACAGAGTTGTTCCGGTCTACTTGTAGGCATATGGCGTGTGGTTATTGCTAGTTTATGCGGTTTTCAGGATAAAATTATTGTTCTTCAGCGGCTTCATCATGAGACGGTTCGCTACACCTTTAGTAGCATTTAAGCCTTTGTTCCTCCAGGTGTTTCCTCCTCACTCTCTGCCTTTCTATTTTTACTTTCTTCCTTCCAAGAACCCTTTCGACTTTTTCTTGGTGTTCTTCCATGGCTAGTGATCATCCTTCTGGAAGGGATCTTACTGCTGAAGAATGGGAGTCTTTTCAGTTCCGATTTGGGCTTATCTCCGAACAAGGGGTTCAAATTCCTCTTCCTGATGCATCACTCTATAGTCCTCCAGATGGCAAGGTCGGCATTCTGATTGCCTTATCTGAGGCAGGCCTGCGTTTGCCTACTATAGACTTCTTCAACCTGATCATCTGTGAATATGGGTTTTTTGTGAGGGAGCTGACCCCAATTGCCATATGTAACATCTAGAATTCCAGGTATCATTTTGTAATAATTTATTTTTTCAAAAGAAGGACTCGACGAGTTGACGCCTAGACTCATCGAGTAGGATCACAATTTGCTGACTGGATTTAATGAAGGACTTGACGAGTCGGGTAGTCGACTCGACGAGTCTGTGTTGTGAGCAAAAACCCTAAATCCTTGGGTTTGTTCCCTATTTAAGGGATCTTATGGCTCTCATTTGCAGCCACCTTCATCCTTGAGAGCACCAGAGAACCAGAGAGCATAGAGAGGGAGAGAGAGAGAGGAAGCCATTTTCATCATCTCTAGTGTCATTTTGAAAATAAGAAGGAAGGAGGGCATGCTAGACGGATTAAGGAGCTCAAATCTGCTACCATTTTATCAGAAGAAGCTACTAGAGGTATGGATCTATGCTCAATCTCGTGTTTATGGTGATCTACATGAATCTAGGGTGTTCTTATCCCTTCGTTAGCTTGTATTCGAAGCTCATAAGGTACCAATGTGGAATAGCTCTTAGATCTGGACCTTAAGAGGTCTAGAGAGTCCCAACTAATCTGCTTTATGCTGTTCGATTAGAGGTATGAACCTAGGATGCCATTTTAGAAGCTATTTCACCAAAAGAAGCATTATGGACGTTGCATGAGTGCAAAGACTGGACCTTTACATGATTATCGAGCATTGGGAAGTCAGATCTATAGGTTAGAGAAACAGATCTGACCTCAGAAGGCCAGATGAGTGTGGTTATGGAAGAAACTCTCCGAGTCCATAAGAGAACTTGACGAGTCGAGTCGGGGTTGCCCCGCGATTCATGACCAGTGGTAACTCGTCAAGTGGAAGGTTCACTCGACGATTCGAGTGAGGCTTTAGAAGGATCCAGAGGACATGCTTGGACTTGTCAAGTCACCCATGTGCACTCGACAAGTCTTGTCACAGTTTGACTGTTGACTAGAGTTGACTTCAGTTGACCTTGGGGTTTTGGTCAAGTTGAATCTAGAGAGGCCAAGAAGGGGTAGAATGGTCTTCTACCCAATCTTTAGGGATGAGGACTAGAGAAAGTATTGATTAGAGATGTTGTTATTTTGATAGGAGGAGAAGGCTAGGTCGAGTCATCGAGCTAGAGATTATATGACATCGTACGAGGTGAGTCTTCTCACTATAGATTACCTAGAGTGGTACCTATGTGCAGAACAGAGGGTCTTATGTGTATGTGTATGTTTGTGATTATGTGAAATGTGTTATATGTATGCTATGTGATATATGGACCGGACTAGAGGGTCTAACGACTCATGAGGCCAGAGGGTCCTCGATCAGACCGGACCGGAGGGTCCAACGAGCTAGACCAAACCAGAGGATCCAACGAGCTACGGGACTAGAGGGTCCCGCTGGGACACATTGACCGGAGGGTCATACCGAGTTATAGCCTCGAGTGGCTTACGTGTTTTATGTGGTATTTTGGGGAACTCACTAAGCATTTACGCTTACAATGTTTTGTGTGATGTGTTTCAGGTACCAGTGAGGATCACGGGAAGGCGTCGACATGATTTTTACACACTGATGGAGAATTATGTATTTTGAGATTCTAGGATATGTTTATTTGAGATGAAATGTGACACTTAGGTTTTTGAAATGAATTATGTGAATTATGTTTGTTTCCAAATAAAAATTGTTTTAAAATTTTCACGTTGTTACACCATAAACAAGATAGTGGGTTTTGAACTCCTCTGTCGTGCCCTAGGCCGCCAGCCAACTGTCCCGACGTTCAAGAATTCTTTCAATGCTTCCACCCAGTCTGGGACCTGGACCCTATCTTGCAGGTGGGGAGTCCCTACCCTCATTCACGATAAGAAATCCAAGAAGAATTGGTAGGGGAAGTTTCTGTGGGTGAATAATGATCTCGTGGTGCTTGCCTACCCAAGGACAAAGGCATATGTTGACCACATTCCAACACTTTTTGGTGCTAACAAGGAACTGGCTGATGTCCTAGAGAAGATTAACATCAATGGTAAGGTCTAGCTCAACTGTTTCTTGGCCGCCGGCGGGATAAGCATTGCTTGGAGGGATCTTGGGAAGATACCCGAGTTTTTCGTTGAGAAAGAAGGTATGACATTTCTTCTTCTATTTTCTCTTGCCCTCCTTTCCTCCATTTTTTCTTAGCAAGGTGCATTAAGATCAGTGTTTCAGTTAACCGCTGCTGTTTTCGTTTTGTTGCCGGGTGTGGAGGAGGTTATTTCCTTGGAGAAAGCTCTTCAAGGTTTATTTGACGGTGATCTTCAGTGTCGTGACGTCGACCTTATATAGGCTCTTCCATCCCCTATTTCTGGATGGGGAATCGAGGTTATCATAGGTTTGGAAAGTGCTATTAGCACCATCAAGGATCCAGATCTGCAGGATGTTGTTGTTATTGGCACTTCTCAGAAGGATCCTACCCCTTCCGGGTCCCCAAGGAGTCTCCGTCATGTTAAGAGTCGATTCGCTTTCGTGGAAGCCTCTTCTGGCGGCAGTTCTAATACAGTTAGCACCGATCCCCCTCTGCTCAAGAAACGTAATATGATTTTCTTGCTAGGTTGTTCAAAGGGTTCCATCAGTGCCCCCGATGAAAGTCCTCCCAAACTAGTGGAAGGGTCACACAACAGGGTGACTGAACCGCCCGATTGTATAGAGAAAGGAAATGCCGGCACATCCGACCCTGATCCTATTATTGGGGGAGCCAAGGCAAAGACTAGGTCTTTTCCTTCACATGGTCTCGTGTCAACTTCTTCTGGTTAAACATGAACTATTCCCCGTTTTGCAGGGTCCCGTTCAGGTGTCTACATGGCATCTTGGAATCTAACCCCTAGAGACCTCGTTTCTGATCATGACACTGCTCTTAAGTGGTGTCGTCATGCCTTTCCTCCTACCACGACTGGAGCTTTATCTATTTTGGCGGATGAGCACATGGTCGACGGTCTCCGCTATGCCGCTGCCCAAGTGTCATCTTACTTGGTTTTAACTGCTGAGCGTATTTCCAACATAGAGTATATCCAGTCTCAAACAGACAAGGTGAGCATTGAATATGCAGATCTGAAGGCACAGGTGGCGAAAATGGAAGCCGCCAAGCGCAATTTGGAGGCCCAGCAAGAGGTGGTATTGTGCAAGAAGGCAAGCCTGAAAGAGCAAGTGGCCATGCTGGATGAGGCAGTGAAGCGCTTGAGTGATCGTGTGGGGGTCCTGACCTTGGAAAACACCGGCCTAAGCAAGCGGACAAAAAAATTAGAGGCATACCTAGTTGAGGAAAGTGCTACTAGGGGGTGTTGGAGAAGGATATTTTGTGGATCCTTCACGATGGACTCAGTCACGTTGTGGACAAGGTGGTTGAGAGCCCTTACTTTCTCAAGGGTTTGGTTCATGTACAGATAACTTGCGTTGCGATAGGCGTGGAGAAGGGGGAGAGGGATTTAAGAGAACTGGTGGTTTCTAGGGAGTTTAATGCAATGGTAGATGTGGACTTGGCCGCCAAGACTAGGTAGATGGATGACGCCCTTGCGGCGTTCACAGAGACAAACTTTTCCAGCTATCTCCGACTTGGTGACATAGGTTTGGCCGGGCTCAGTGATCTTTGTAAAGATGCTCAGAGTGATGGCTTAGGTCCTGGCCCAAGCTTTCCACCTGACGATGGTGATGCCCCTGCCCATAAGTGATGTTATTTTCCTGACTTGTTTTTATGTAACTTATGTGGACAATATTTTCTATTTCTTTCTCTTTTTTTTTTTTTTTTTTTTTTTTTTTTTTTTTTGTCTTTGTTGCCCTTAGTGGTAGTCTTAAAGTATGGGAGTCCGACAATTTGACAATGTTTGCTTTATATTAATGGATGTGAATGTTCCCTATTATCGCATACATTCTTTTGTTTGATTGCTTTGGAATGGTTTATGTTGGCCATCACGTAGTATTTATGTAGGGCTTGCTTAAATCCCTGGTCTGGGTCCTTTTTCTTGTGGACTCTTAATGTTTTACTTATGCTAGTCTTTGAGAAATTTGCTCTAAGTTGCTGCTTAAAGACTCTAGGTGTAGCCAATATCATCATCTTGAGGCTAACCTGGCTATTCTTTCATTACTATTAAGATTATGATTCTTCTACACTTACATTACATGTTCTTTGGCACGTTTTGGTTTTGGGAACGTTAGTTAGAATGCGAGTGATGAACATGTTCTAGGGGATAGGTTATGGACCTTTTTTATATATAAACCCCCTGGATGCCTCCTTATATCGATTTCACTCATGTGACATTGGATGATCAGTCCTTGTTGTCACATGGTAAACTTACACAACCTCTTTATTTTATTTTTCAAGATTGAAAATAAGGAGCATCTGAATTACACTCTCTTTTTTCTAATTTTTTGTTGGAATGTTATAAGATTGAAAGCGGTGAAGTAATTTTTGTTGGTTAAATTTACATTTCGTAACTAATATACGATGCTTTTGCTGACATTTAGTTTTTCTTTGACACTCATTTTAAGAATAAAAATGATGCAGAGTCTGCGCGTTCCATGTCATTGGGATTGTACGCTTGTCTTGGGATTCTAGTATGTAAGCACCATTCGTATGGGCTTCCACAATTTTTACGGTCCCTCCCAAGTGACACTAAGTTTACCCAATGGCTCGGTAGGGCTGGACTCATTTTTCCTTAGCACCCATTCTCCAACTTTGAAATTCTTGACCTGGACTTGGTAGTTGTAATAGTTCTCGGTGCGCGATTTGTACAATGCTTGGCGCATCTGCGCAACCTCATGTTTTTCATCTTACATGTCTAAGTCCTGGTGTCACCTCCCTTCGTTGGCTGATTCCTCAAAACTATCTGTTCGTAATGAGCCAGCCAATATTTCCAATGGGATGATTGCTTCCGTCCCATAGGTTAGGCTGAATGGCGTTTCTCCCGTGCTTGACCTTGTTGTGGTATCGTATAGCCATAACACTGTTGGGAGCTAATGTACCCAGGCGGACTTTGATCTGAGTAACCTCTTCTTCAGACCATTAAATATGGTTTTATTTGATATCTCAGTTTGTCCATTGTCCTGGGGGTGTGCCAGGGACATGAACCGGCGGTGAATTTTTTTGTCTTCACACCACTCTTTGAAGGGACTCCCTTCAAATTGTGTGTCATTGTCGCTTATGAGAACTCTGGGTCTACTAAAGTGAGCCAATATGTTTTTGACCATGAATTTTATCATTTGTTTTCCCGTTACAGTGGCTAGCGGTTCTGCCTCTATCCACTTTGTAAAGTAATCTACGACAACTAACAAGAATTTCACACCCCCTGACGCTGGTGTGAATGGCCCCACTATGTCAATACCATTGATGGAAAGGCCAGGGGGTGGTGATGCTGGTCAATGACATGGCTGGTTGATTTTGGCAAAGAGAGAATGCCTGGCATTCTTTGCATTTATTGGTTAGGGCTATTGCCTCGTTGTATTTTGTTCGGCCAATATACTCCTAGGCGGAGTACACACTACAAGAAAAAGACACTTTTACGACGCGCAAACCACGACACTCACTGATTTATGTTACACAAAAGAGAGTAACATTAAAAAAGTGTCGTCACTTCAAAAAAATCTAAAGATTTAGGTCACGCATTATTGCGTGCCCTTAAATTAGTGTCTAAAAAAACACGGAGGGCACCTATAATAAAATGCATGTCGTCTAAGGCTGTCGCTTTATAAATTTTAATGGAACGAGCGTTCCATCCTTTAATAGCAGGGGGGAAATGAGATCCTAAAAAAAATTAAAAACCCCGCGTTTCATCCATATTTATAGGGTTTCCATGTAAACCTTAGACCTCATTTGCAGGTTTTGTTTTCTGATCAAGTTGTTGCTGTTCGGGAAGAAATAATGAATTCATCCTCTCCACTAGCCAACAACCTTCACTATCTCCTTCTCATTTTCTCTGTAAACCCTAATCCGCCTCGACCACTACCGAATCCATTTTGTTTATCTTAAAGGAATAACGCAATCAAGCTCGTATCTCAGATCAAGTACTCCGACGTGGAGTTACGAATTGAGGGCCCGCTTTAGGCTCATATCCTCGCTGACGTGCATCATGTGATATTCCAGACCACCGAGGTTTGATCGACTTGAGGGCTCGGCTCGGAGGCTGGAGCAGCGGCTTGGGTCCATGAAAATCGGAAGAGGTGGTGAAGGATGGTGGTTGGAGGAGGCGATGAATAACATGAACGAGGAGTTCTCTATTCGCTTCCTCGTCTCTCAAGCTTCATGATCCTCTCCTCTGCTTCGAAATTCTTTCCGATCTCATTTCCTCCATTCACGACGAGCCCAAGGTCTACGCCTGTCTACATTTCTTTGTGATACGTATGATTTGTTTCGGTTCACTTTTAATATGATTATTTTTTTCTGTTTACGTCACTAAAACATGTTGATTGTGAAATTGATGACAAACTACACCCAGTTATTTGAACTCCTTTGGACTAATTCTTAAAACCAAAACTTGATGTTGTCTAAAGCTTGAATCTAGGAAGTAGGGTTTGAATCTCATAAGTTAAATGTGGACTCTTGTGCGTCATTTGAATAATTAATTTGAAATTATTAGGAGTCTGTACTTCTGTGGCAAAGGAAATACGACGATGCACTCTTTTCTCTGTAGGTTCTTGGTGCAAGGCGCCATGTGCGTCATCTGGCTTCTACTGCAATGGGTAAAATCATTTATAAAGGGGATAATATCTCAACCTACTCAAGAGTCAGCAGCCTTCAGGGGTTCCTCTCTGATGGAAAGAAGAATGAAGCCTTGCGAATAGCTGGTATGTCTATTTATTTTATGTTTGAATTTGATATGCATGCCTATCTTTGATATGTATTTTAGTTAATTCCTAATGATTACTCCTAAAATATCTTTCAATATATGATTTATAGTACAATATTCTCATTTCTGTTATATATTGACAATTGTGACAGCAACAGAATTATTAGTGAACTTCAGCTGCATAGAGGGTAGAACATATATTATTAAATATAAATATTTTACCAAATTTTTTGTTGCATACAAAATGAAGCATACATGCATTCAACATGTAAGTTTATTCAAAACAAGTAGAACTTTTACCATGTTTGCTGGTAGTGGTGTCATTGTAACCTTGTAGATGGTTGGTTGTGTATGTTGGTAAGATTGATTGATTTTTTGTTTTAAAGCTCCATAAAACTTGTGTCTTAATAATCAACTGATGAAGTTACTTACTCCATTGCTTACTTATTCATCTTGTTTAGTTAATCCCCATGACTTGATATAATTTTTGTTTTTCATTTTCTTGTTATCTGTGTGAGTTTCTGCAGTTTGCTTAGGATTTTGTGAGGCGAGAGGCTTTGCAGATGCTTAGAAATTCTCTCGAGGGTTCATGTGGCAATGGCTCTTTACCTACATATGCAGAAGCATTTTTCATAATCATGCGAATGGGTGTTGGAGACAAATCATTCATTGTCCGGAAAGCTACTGCAAGATGTTTAAAATCTCTTGCTAGTATTGGAGGCCCAGCCCTAGGAGTTGGAGAGCTTGACAATTATGCCTCTTACTGTGTCAAGGTACCACTTTCTTAGTTACTCTGTGTATCTTGTTGCATGAGGTTAGACTTGAAGAAGTTGACTCTTACCAAGGAGATGACTCTAGATAGGAGGGGTGTGGAAGCTTAAAATCAGGGTAGTTAGTAGTAGAGTAGCTTTAGGAGTAGTCTAGACCCTAGGTGTCTTTCTGTTAAAATTTGAACCCCATTGCATCAGTTTTTTAGTATATATAATATTTTGATAGATGTATTAATTTTTGCAGCAAGTGGAACCCATTCAAAGGTTTTGCGAATAGGTATAACCTTTTCATGGGTGTTCTTCTTACAGGTGAAATTTATCTCTGTTACTAGTTTTTCGGATATTATCTACAATATCCATCTCTACTTGTTGCTATTGGTTCTCATTTACCAGACTTTGTAAGCCTGATTGTTCAAAAATGTTCCAGAATGATGATATTATCTGCAATATTCATATCCAATGGCATCTATTCAACTAACGCCTTTGTCCACCTGCACCGATCTCTCTCTTCTTGTCTTCAGAGTTTTCTGATGTCGGAAGACTCTCTCCGTCCGGTGCTCTACTGGAGAACCTTTTTCATCCTCATCTCCATCGATTTCCGTTGGTTCCGATTTCGACGCCAAGGTTTTTCGGCATAATTTGACCAGAAGCAAGAACTACAACTGGAAATGATTCGGGCACAAGAAGGAGACGCTTGAGCTAATGAGTCAGGAGTATAACAGTAATAATCTTATCCCTTTAGCTTGTTTCAATTAGTTCTTTTTCCTGAATTTGAGATAATTGAGCATTGAGAATTTATAAATTTGATGCGACTTCTGATGTTGTTAAAATTTACTTATCTCATCTGCTAATTTGTCTACGACTGGTAAACTGATTGAGATCATTTTCTGGTCAACGGAGTTTCCAACACCGATGTTTATGTTAAATAATCGTTTTAACACGGTGTAAGCTGTCTTATAGCCTAAAATTCTAATGATTGATATGTATTTTGTTTAAATTGAATTTTTATAGGTGACATAATAAAGACTTTGAAGGAACTATGAATATACATGGGGAAATGTTACTATAAAGCTTGCAAAAGCTTATGGATTTTGCTGAGGTGTTGAACGTGCTGTCCAAATTTTGCTTATGAAGCCAGGAAAAAATTCCCTGATGAGAAGATTTGGATCACTAACGAAATTATTCACAACCTGACTGTTGATAAGGTACTAGTTTAGTTTCTTTGGGTAAATTCTATAGCATACAGTTTTGTGGTGATTTTCCTCCAGTAATAAACATTTTTAAGGGTCTTTTATTTGTTCTGTTTTCAGTTGATCCCTGAATGGTGATGTCATTTTAATAGATTTTTGTTGATTCCTAAGTGAAAGTATTCTTTATTATCCCTACTTCCCTCATATGAATGTATCTTGTAAGACTTCACATATTTTAACATATGATCATTAAAGTTTTTAACTTTTGTAATGCTAGAGGCTAGAAGAGATGGAAGTTAAAGATATCCCAATTGAGGATGAAAAAAAACAATTTGATGTCATTGATAAAGGCGATGTTGTAATTCTGCCTGTTTTTGGAGCTGCAGTAGATGAAATGTTGACTTTGAGTAACAAACAAGTACAAATAGTTGACACAACATGCCCTCGGGTGTATAAGGTGTGGAATACTATTGAAAAGCACAAGAAGGGGGATTATACTTCAATCATTCATGGTAAGTATTCCCATGAAGAGACAGTGGCAACAACCTCTTTTGCAGGAAAGTATATCATTGCGAAGAATATGGATGAGGTATGCTTAATGGGCTTCTTCTTTTGAAGTGAAAAACACTTTTCCACATTGATATAATTATATTAAATAATATTTTATTACTTGATCCAGACAACATATGTGTGTGATTACATTCTTGGTGGTGAACTTAATGGATTTAGCTCAACCAAAGAAGCTTTTCTGAAGGTAATTTGTTTATTATAGCATCTTACTTGAATAATTTTTTCCTGTTTACAGCATTAAACTTCAAAAAATCTACCCAGTTATAGCAATGTCTGCCAAATACCAAGAAATTTCACTACTATAATTGGGTTATTTTTCAAATTTGAATGTCCCAAAAAGAAAAAAAGTTGAAAGTACAATGTTGTAGTTTGGTAAAAAATTTAAAAGTACAATGCTTTAATATGAAAAAGATCGAAAGTAAAATGAATGTTGTGATAAACTTTCAATTCTTGTGAAAGCTGGTGTGGCGAACCAAACTACAATGTTGAAAGGAGAAACAGAAGAGATAGGTCAGTTTTTTTTTGTTTCAAATAATTCCTCATGTTACTTTTTATATATAAGTTATATCATTAACATACTTGGTTTCTTTTTTCCTTATTTCAGGGAGATTAGTAGAGAGGACAATGATGCAGAAGTTTGGATTCCCCTTTACATTACAGAAGGTGTCCCTTGATAGCAATGTAGTATTAGGTTATATAGTTAGGGAAAACCTCTTAATAACAATGTACAATTAGATCCCCTTAGTATTAATGTATTACATTTTTTTTGACATGATGTTGTTGGATGAAATTGATTGTTTTGGTATATATTTGTTTACATATTTTTGTATTACGCGTAAATAAGTATCGTAAAGATGCTTCTTAAATGCATATTGTAAATGGTTACTAAAGTTTATGACACGCAAATGTGTGTCATCTTCATTGATACGCATTGCGTATCATAAACACGCGCGTTGTAAGGTTACGACACACAAATGTGTGTCGTCTTCCTTTATGACAGGGCCTTCCTTGATACGCATTTCGTGGCATAACTTTGCGTCATAAATGCGTGTCGTAAATGGGTGTCGTAAATAGACAACACGCAAAAGTGTGTCATCTCTCGTTATGATAGAGCCTTCCTTGACACACATTTGTGCGTCGTCTGAGCGGTTTACGACACACATTTCTCGTGAGCGCTCGAGCACCTTCATGCACAGCGGCGTCCCCAGAATGACTTTCTTCCAGGAGCATCTGCCCCTCTGTCTTAGAGATGCATTTTAGCCATGGGATGAAATACCCTCTTCGATACAGTTTGTTGTCTCTGATTGTGAAATGTGACACCCTGATGCTGACTTTCCTCACCTCTTCTGGGTCGTCCGGGAGTACGCCATGATGCAAGTAATCGACGTATGGTTTGGTCCTTTTTGGGATAGTCGAGACTGTGTTGACCTTTTGGTTATCAATGCTTCTTTTTGGGAGCACTTCGACAAACACTTTCATCCACCCTTGCATTTTTTCCACAAGAAATTTGTTTTATGGAATTTTTTTTAAATGTGCTTGTTAAGATGCGGATTGCATCTAGGTATTTCTACATCCTTGAATCTTTTGCTTCATACGTTCAGTTTATCTGGTTTGTGATAAGTAATGAATCACTGAGGGATGTTAACTGCTTTGCACCAACTTCCTTTGCCAACATCAGGCGTGCTAGAAGTGCTTCGTACTCCGCTTCATTATTAGATACCTAGAAATTAAAGCACAGTGCGTATGTGATTTCTTTTCCCTTAGGGATTTGGAGGATCAAGCCTGTGCCTGAGCCTTCATTTCTTGCCGCACCGTTATTTTATAACTTCCAAAGTTCTTTGTCGGCTTCAGGTTCCTATGGGTCGACAAAGATTGACGTCGGTACCTCCTTGATAGTGTCTGGGATTTCGACTAGGAAGTCTGCGAGGGCATGTGCCTTGATGCTAGTGCGGGGGTGAGAATTGATATCTTGCTCGCCTAACTCTATGGCCCACTTGGCCAGGCGCCCAAAAATTTTCGGCCTTAGCAGGACTTGCTTTATCAGATAGCTGGTTAGGATATCCACCTTGTGCGCATGAAAATATCATCGTAACCGCCTGACAGCGTATACCAAAGTGAGGAACAGCTTCTCTAAGGTCGGGTAATTGACTTCTAGCCCTTGCAAGGCCATGCTCACAAAGTGTATGGGGACCTGCTTGCCTTCCCTTTCCACCGCCAACACGGAGGAGATAGCTTCTTCCAAAACGGAAAAATACATATGTAGTGTCTCCCCTAGTAACGGGCAAGCGAGAGCTGGTAGTTGGTGTAAGGCGTCTTTCAGTCTCTGCAGTGCTTTGTCTGCCTTTTTCGTCCATTTGAACTACTTTTTATCTAAGCACCCTTTGAGGGTTTGATATAGAGGAAGTGCCTTTTCGGCCGATTTGGCAATGAATCTTCCCAATGTCGTTAGCCTACCGTTGATGTCTTGTACACCCTTGAGGTTGTGTGTAACATCCATAAAATTCGAGCCAATTTAAAACTTTTTAGATCATTTAAAACCATTTAGTCATTACAATTTATTTTCAAAATAGTTTAAACATCAGAGTTCCCAGAAATCATAATCATCTATCGAGGAAGTGTACGGTCACGCCTTCGCATTCCCGCGGCCATCCGCTGAACCTGAAACAATAAACTGAAACCATAAGCCTGAAAGCTTAGTGAGTTCCCCAAAATACCCATAGACACAATAATACACATATAATGACAAACATCATACTATGGGTCCAATCATCCATCGAGATGGAATACCCCAAGCCCTCAAACATCGGGTTGGAATGCTAACATACAATACATATATAATCGATACTATGGGTCCAATCATCCATCGGGATTGAATACCCCAATCCCTCAACCATCGGCTTAGAATGCCAACATACTATGGGTCTAGTCAACAATCAGGTTGGAATACCCGAGGCCCTCAACCATCAGGTTGGAATGCCAACATAACCAATCAAACATGTGCCCTTATATCAGATAATCATATAACAATCTAAAAGACAACATACTGGGGTCCTATCATCCTCGAGATGGAATACCCTCAACTACCAATCAATCATGTGCACATATAATAGGTAATTACATAACAGTCTATAGACAGACAAACCAATCTAACATATCGCAATAACATAACAACATCCTATCTACCAGTATACTAATCTATCAGATCATAGCAACATACAACATCCTATCTATCAGGATACTGATCTAGCAGAACATAACAACATATAACAACCCATCTACCAAGATATCGAGCTAACAGATCATACTAGTGACAATCCCAAATAACAAATCAAAGGGACGACATTGGTGCCTTACACCCTTGAGTACAGTGAGGATAACTAACCTCGCAATGTCGATCTGAGCTGAAGAATCGAACTCCCGAATCCCTGCCTCACCAACAATCCGAACTGTCCAAATAATAAATACCAAGTCATTACACAACATAACAATCTTGACTAAGGGGGGGGGGGGTCCACACAATCCGTCATGCCCATTCTCTTTATTGGGCCAAGGCCCAATGCCAATATCATAACCTTGAAAGTCCTTATGCAAAGCCCATTATTGGCCCAATTTACCGAATTGGGCCCAACCCCTAATTGGGCCTAATTCCAAGATACATCATCAAGACTTGGCCCAAAACATAATATTCATAAAGTCTAGAAAAGGCCCGAATCCAACTAGTCCATAAACGGCCCAAAACTCGAAGCCTAAATGCCAAAGGCCCAACAGACGACGTACGCGGGGCGTACTCATAAAATGTTGATCACCATTGGGGTGGTTGACCCAGTACGCTGGGCATACGTGGGCCTTTTGTTGGGTTTTTTTTGGTATAATACAACATCATATGGTGTACATACAACCCTAAATACATTGGATCTATTTTTTCTCTATTATACTTGCAAATATCAATTTTCCAAGGTATTGTTCTAACTAGCATAATATGAAGAACATATAATATAGATTCTAGTAGAATTACATACCTCTTTGTTGTAGCTTGATTCCATGGAGCTTAAGAGCCTAGTACCTCAAGTGTGACACCTCAAATGGTTCACTCAACATCACCAACATCTTGGAATAACTTGAGAGAAAAGGTTCCTATGCTCAAATTGGCTAGCCCTCTTGTGTACACACACTAGTGCCAATTTCTTGAGTCATGGGGTCCTTATATATGGTGACTATTAGGGTTACACCATGTAACTCATTTCTTTCCATATTTTTCACGCTCCATGGGTTAAAACCTCCATGGAGTATCCATGGGTTTAGCCCAACATGAAGAACTATGGATCATAAGCCCACATATATAACAATGAATGATTTACACAATCAATCCCCATATATTTAATTATTCTCCTTTTGATCACATAATTAATTCCAAATTACATCTTGATCAATACTAATTAAATAATATGATTTCATATTAATATATTAGAACTTATAATATATTAGCAAATCATAATTATCCGTTTCTCACAAAAGTCTATCCAAATTGTTCCGATGCCATGCAACCCAAATGGACCATGCCAATCGGGTCAAGTACATACCAATTATATTTATGGACTTAGAAACTAATCCAATAGTCTCCCACTTGGATAAGTCTAAAACTATTATCGAGTATGACTTCGAGACCCGACTAGCAATCGTAGCTATTGAAAGCTGTTGTCGAACTCTGAACAAATCAATGACGCTTCCATTAGATAAGGGATCATATATTCCTCCATTCTAGTTATCATATGTACTAAGACATGGATTATAATCATTCTCTATGTCCATTTGTTGTTTCCCGATTTCTGATTTATGACGACCGACTAATTGAACAAATCACATTAGTCCTGGCTTGGCCAAGCACTTCGGGGTGTCATTACTAAATCATCGAGGGGCCCATAGATATCGCTTTTATCCCTTCAAGGGTAAAAGGAATGGATAAACTTTGACTCATATGCTTGTTCTACTACTTGTTGAATCATACACAAAGGCATTTTTTTATAACATCGAGTTACCAATGCGTTTTCGTACAATCAATGAATAACCAACTCATAGGTAACAAGTCATATCTCTAGCTTTGAAGAATATAAGATATTATCGTCTCATGATCACTCGTGATAATATCCATGAAGTGATTCAAATGAGCGTGGTTTTAATCCAATACTCAGAGCTTATGATCACTCATGAATGTTGCAACAACTCTTGCTATGTCCACTACCTTGGACATCTACAAACCAGCTTCATGATAGTCATGATTCATATCTACTTCGAACATATGACCGACTGTGGATGGTTTGAATAACTTAGTCATTTAGGAAGAACGACCTTGTTATTCTGGAAGTCAAAACATGCAAAGTGAAACACAAGAATAATTGAATCCAATATGGTCTCAGAACTAATGAATATAAATAAAACACCTTTTATTTACCACCATATTGATTACCCATCATTCATTGCATACTGTTTCAAACTATCAACTTTATACTTGAATTAAAACAATAGCTTTCCCATGCTCCGAGCATGTACGCTATGTTTTCTAAACACTAATCATGCCATACACTAACTATGCACACTATGTTTTTCCAAACATTA